CTTCCTTCCTTCCTTCCTTCCTTCCTTCCTTCCTTCCTTCCTTCCTTCCTTCCTTCCTTTTTTGCCAGTCCTGGGACTTGAACTCAAGGCCTGGGCACTGACGCTGAGCTTCTTTTTACTCAAAGCTAGCACTCTTACCACAGCACTACCTCTGGCTTCTTCTGAATAGTTTATTAGAGATACGAGTCTCAGGGACTTTCCTGCCCAGGCTGGTTTTGAACCACGATCCTCAGATCTCAGCCTCCTGAGTAGGATTACAGGCATGAGCCACTGGCACCCACCTTCTTTTTTAAAAATGTGATTTTTTTACAGAAAATATTTAGGTTCACAGCAAAATTTGAGAGGCCCTAACAGATATTTCCCGTACACCTTTGCCCTTCTCAGCATGCCCAACATCCCAGTATCCATAGTTCACAGCTGATGAAAATACACTAAGATATAGTCCCCATGCCTAACGCCTACATGCACAGCATTACATGTCCTTGGTTTTGGACTCAAAACCCTCTGTACCACGTACTCTCCTGCCCATCCTTCTTGATATCTGTGCTGTCTGCATTATGTGAATTCTGTATACCTTTGACTGTCAAGCTTTGGTGACAGCCTGATGCTCTGCTTCAGTTGAAATGCAGCATCTGATTTGTAAGCCTGGGGTGGGGTCTGTGATTCTGCCTTCTACAGCTCATCCAGGTAATGTGGCCTGGCGAGGTAAGAGTGTCCTGTCCCATGTATGCTTCCCTCAGATCCAGACCCACAGTCCTCTCTCCCTCCTCTATCCAGGTGTGTGTTGGGAAACACTACCATCCTGGCTGAGTTTGCCACCGATGATGAAGTTAGCCGCTTTTTGGCACAAGCTCAGCCCCCTACACCTGCAGCAACCCCCAGCGCACCAACCGCAGGGTGGCAGTCCCTGGAAACCGGCCAGAACCAGTCAGACCCTGTTGGACCTGCGCTGAACCTTTTCGGTGGGTCTACTGGGCTCGGGCAGTGGAGCAGCAGTGCTGGCGGCAGCAGTGGGGCCGATCTTGCTGGCGCTTCGTTGTGGGGGCCCCCAAACTATTCTTCTAGCTTATGGGGAGTCCCATCGGTAGAAGATCCCCATAGGATGGGCAGCCCGGCTCCTTTACTACCTGGTGACCTTCTGGGAGGAGGGTCGGATTCAATCTGAACTTAGAACTTTCAACTCTGACCTCGTGACCTTTTTTGGAACAGCAGCAGCACTAACTTGACCTTTTCGTTTTTTTTTTCAACTTGCAATAAATACATTTTTAAAAGGAAAAAAGAAAACGGAGAGAGAAAAAAAAAAAAGGTGGGTCATTGACAGACTGTCTGAGCACATAGTTGCCTCCCTTATAACTTCAGTTTTTCGTTTGGAATCTGAATCCAAAAAGAGAACATATCACTCTTGAAATACTTGAATCATGAACGCCAACCTAGAAAGACAATGTGAAGCAAGTACACATACCATTTAAATTTAAACACAAAAAATTAAAAAAATTAGTTTCTAGTTTTTCACTTTTTTCATGTTATATGGAAGTTGTTGCTAAGAAACATATATACTGAAAAAAATAGCTTTTTAACTTTGTTTGCACTGGGTGTGTTTCCGTCCTTAGGTCTACCATGTTTGGGTGGGAGGGAAATTCAAAAGAATTGTTGGGGGAGGGGGGAGGGAAGACTTGACGGAGCCTCACTTTAAAAACAAAAACACAAAAAACCTAAAAAAAGAAAAAAAAGAAAAAAGAAAAAATTTGTGATTGGCTGGTTGATAAATACCAGTGTGTTCTGGCACATGTAACTGCCCAGGCATGCTCGTTCTGGTATGTGTGTGCACGTGTGTCCATGTGCATTCGCGTGCATCTGCCTCTCTGTCTCTGTGTGTGCCTGTGTCCTGCCCTCCTCCTGCCCTACCCTGATTTCTCAGAAAGCTGCATTGCTGACAGTCTGCAGGCTGGCTGGCCGGCCGGCCATCTGCATTGGCTTTTTATTTTCTTAGTTTTTTAAACTATGAGAACACACTCGCACGGGGAAGCCGCTGCAACTCAAGCCATTTGGTCAGGCTGCATTAAGAGAAGCGTGCTTTTCCATGGTCTGAGCAGGGAGCTCCTTGCCATTTGCGCATTCGCCTGAGTGTGAGGTTCTCTAGCTTTTCTCTCAACCTAGCAGCAGAGCAGAGCACTGCCAAGTCCAACAGTTGGAGAGCAGGACGTGTCCTTTGGGGTAGCTGTGTGTTCATTTCTGTTTTTTAAAGTGAGTGGCTGCTAGGTGCATTGAGGTCTTTGTGCAGTTTCATGCAGGCCTTTTTGTTAGTTTGGGAACAAAAGATAGTTTTTCAGTTATGTGATGTTCCAGAAGCAGAGATGCTGTGTTCCTGCTTCCCTGTGTGATCAGATGTGAGAGATTTGTCAAAAGTCTGGTGATGTGATTGAATCTTCTATTGGTTCTCATTGTCATCTGATGAAAACCAACAGCAGTAAAGTTGTGAGCAGCCTCCTGGAAGCATCGCAGCTCCTCCTCCTCTGCTCCTCCCTCTCTGCTCCTCCTCCTCCTCCTCTTGCGCTGAGCGCTACCTGTGCCAGGCCGGGGCGTGTTACAACACCAGGCCATCACTGACAGAAACGTTTACTTAACGAATGTTCTTAAACCAGTGTGTACTTCAAGCGTTTCCCTTTGTTTCTCCGTGTTGTGTATTTCCTGTGTATGTGGTTTTGCTTAGGCAGGAATAACTTAGCAAAGACTTTTTTAAGTATTGCACCTTTTTGGTTTTGACCTCTTTTTTTTTTCCTTGTAATGTTGCTTTTTTTTCCTTTTTTTGTATTTAAATTGAGGTTTGTTTTTTTTTTAAGCATCAATGTAGTAGTTCTCTGGGCCGAACAGGAGGCAACATTTAATCCACAGTTATCACCAACTTGTATGTACTTTGTTGGAATCAAAATATATCAAACTGCTTATTGTGAAGAATGACAGCAGACCTTACAGGAACCCCTTTGCACCAAGCAACTGGGGGGTGGGGGGAAGAGGGGTGTGCAGGTAGCGTGCTAGCACTTGTGTGATTGTCCCAGTCTGCATCACACTGTTCAACATGAAGTGCCGACATTCTGTACCAGCAAATACCTGCCCATTCCAGCCCCTAGCGGGAGCAGACTTCTATCATCTGTAACTCGCTGCTGTTGAGGACAAGGGAGTTTTTCTTTTCTTTAGCATCTTCAGTGAAGGACACAATAATGCCTAATGTATTTAACTTTCAGCTTGTGTCTTTGTGTAGGTGGGTGGAGGGGTATGTTAAAAGGAAAAGAAAAAAAAAAAAAGACCAACCTAATTATTTACATGAGAGTGGTTTTGTGAGACAATGAATGGGAAATTCTGTAGTTCTGTTGGCTTGCTCTGTTGATTATAAACCTAGCCTTGAAAGAGATTGACAGGCATAATTCAAGTTGAGCAGTCCTGCGTGCGGGGTTGTGGGAGCCCCCCATGGGTGGGTAGGCAAACTTGAGTGTGCAGTGCTGGTTTGTTCCCACGGATGCCTTGTTCAAACTGACTGTGCCCTCCTCCTGCTCTTCAGTTTTATCACCATGCCCCTCCCACCTTTGCCCTCCTACAGAATGTCTCCTAGCCCCCGTTGACTGACCTCTGCACTGAGCAGAACCCTGTCATCTCTGACAGGTAACCTCCAGGTGAGGCGCAGCTTGTGTTCAGACATCTGCAGACAGAAGGCTAAATCTTAAGTGTCCCCAGGCTAGGAGCTCATCTCAAGTCTCCTGTGAGCCACTGGGGACTATCCACTGCCGCTCTTGGTTCACGGCCATGTCCTGCCCTGCCCTCTTCCTCCTGCCTGTTGGGTCCTTGCCTGCACTATGGCTTAGTTGAGTTCCTTACGATACTACGGTGAAAGCCGGGTGCTAGAGCCCCTCTTGTTTACAAGACATAAATGAGGGATTTGAAATATGTAAAAATAAACATGAGAAGCTAAAATGTTCTTCCATCATAAGCTTAAAGGGAAAAAAACTAAAAACTTTTAAAAAAAGACCAAAAAGTGCATGTGTGTATATATATTTATATATATACATATACAAATACATATATATGCATACATACACATATATATTTTAGATGAAGACTAACTCTGGGAGCATTTAACAGTGTTTTTGTTTTGTTTTGTTTTTGTTTTTAACATTTATTTTCCTGCTTTAAAATTTGCAAGCATTCTCAGGAATTCTAGGGTAGGAAGCCAGTTTTTGAAGATGGTTTATTTAACCGTATCTTATCCTAGATAGGCGGCTGTTTCTTTCCTGCTAATAAACTTCTACAAGTTCCTGAAACTTCAGAAAGTTTAAAACAATTTTTACTTAGAAAAAACATGTAAAAAGAAAAGTCTTCAAATGTTATTGTCATACTGGGGAAATCACACATTTTAAAAACACATAGAGATATTTTTAAAAAATGATTAGTTTAGCAGCAAAAGGTAAATTTATTCACTTGGAAGCTGTGGGAGAAGGATTCAAGCTTCAGAGAGTCATCACGGGCCTGTTTGAGGCCAGGATGTGACTGCATGGGGAGTGTTTGGTGCACAGAGGAAACAGTTGCATGCCGCCTTTTCTTCCATAAAAGGTTAAACAGAAATCTCCCCAGCCATTTTTTTTTAATGGAGCCCTTCTCTCTACCCCTGTAACCCCAGCAACAACAACAAAAGGAATAAAGACAACAGCTTAAAAAGAAGGAAGAAAAAAAATTAACCCTAATCTGTAAAATAGTGCAGATGGATTGCTGAGAATATATGTAAAGAGTTAGGAACTATAAGTTAATAAAGTTTGGAACAACTTTTAAATGTAGGCATTTCTAAAGGAAAATTTTGGACTGTTCTCTTAATGAAGAATGTCTTGTCTCACCTCCATTTGTAATGGGAGGAGGAGAAAACAGAAGAATCTAATAAGGAACAAGTGATTTTACTTTTTTTTTTTTAAAGCTCCCAGCTACTGTTGTGCTTGTTTTAATAACTGTTTTGAAATCTGCTGCTTAATTATGCCCATCCTGGATGGCAGAGATGTGGAGTGTTTCAGTTTTGGTGATGTTGAATTCTCTTTTTGTATTCCCTCCTGGGGCTGGGGGTCAGAATTCCCACACATAACCACAGCTTCTTTCAAACATTAAGCTCCCTGGTGGGAAAGAAACTCCAACTCCACAGGTGAAGGGAGTGGGTGGGATTGCTGCCTGATTTCTCTAAAACCGCTTGAGTGCCTTCATTCATATACCTAGACATCCTTCGTGGCTGCCCATAAAACTGGAGTCCTCCTGGATGGGCTCCAAAGGCAGTAGGCTAGATGAAAATAAGTAGATAAAAGTCAAGGAAGGTAAATATGCTTTTATGTCTTGATAATGTGGAATGCCAAGTTCCTTCCTGTGTTGCCAGTCCCTGCTTGGGTGTGATGACTTCTTGTCCCAGCTACAGTGCCTGGGAAAAGTCTCTTTGTGGTGGGCCAGTGGAAGGGTTCCTATTTTTCTGCTCCTGTTCTCCTTCGTCCACCCCCTACCCTGTCCCATCTTGCTAGAAGCTTTGCATTTTTGGTTGGTAGTGACCTTAAGAGCAGGATTGACTGCCAGGTATCCTAGAAGAGGAAAGCTCTTCTCTTTCCTTGGTATTCGTTGGCAAAAGCTATGTCTACCAAGAAGCTAAGGGACTTAGTTACACTTAGAAAATTCAGTAGGAGCATCCTTTCTCCTAGCACATTCTGGCATGTGGACAGAGGCTTGCTGAGCCACCCTCATTACATAGATTTATTTAATACTCATGTTCAACATGGATGTGTGAGCTTTCCATTGTGTACTAGCTTCTTCTATTTCAACAACAACACTTGATTACTAGTGGCTGGGCGTTTCTTATTCACATCACAGACTTGGGTTCTCACCAGTTCTTGAGTAGCCAAAAGAAAAGAGGCACAAGTAAGGCAGGGAATGCCTTCCATCAGGCAGGACCACCTCTGCTGCCAATGAGACTGTGCTGTGATCTCATTTCCATGTGACAGAAGACTGCTGTAAAGAAACAGATGCTCCCCTAACATCTCCAAATACTCAGTCCCTTACCCTTGAAATTTTCCACTTTGGTCGGGTTACCAATCAGCAGTGCTGGTTCAATCCCTGTACCATAAAATAGAAGATTTCAAGCCACTCTGATCAGTGCCCCTTCCCTCCATTTATTGCCAGTTAGTTTTATGTATACCAGCTAGATTTTTGTATTTCTGTGGCTTCTGTTCTAATAATTGTTCTCTTCTGACATGAATGTAGCATATATCAGCAATTGGTTCTGCCAAGCCCCTGTGGCTTGAAGGTCTGCTGTAAGACACTCAGCGGGAAAAAATTTTTGCCTAAGAATTTGGAAATTCCCTTTTTAGTGTGTCTGTCAGAAACTAAAAGTTCATGGGCTATTAACTTGCTGCAAATATTCACTCTCAACTTTGGGGTTTGGAGATTAACCCATGCTAGGAAGCACTCTACCA